TATTAATTTAATTGGTAAATAAAAAAATGTGATTATATCGAGTTTGTGACTATATCGAGAGTGACTATATCGAGGTATGACTGTAATCACTTTTTAAAGTCTTAGGAATACTGAAAGATTCTTCTTATATACTAGTCCATTGACAGTCAATGTCCAATATCAATTGAATATAGACATGAACATATCTTTTTTATGTTCATATCCATGTTCATTGACAACACTGCTTAAGGGTATAACACGATCAAAAATTACATAAAATTTAATTAGCTGAACCTTTAAAATTGTATAGTACAATAAAATAATAATAATAATATCTGTGGTAATTATTTTCATTGTCACTTAGGTCCATCATTACATTTACATTATTATTTCTCAGTTCTCTTATAATCGCTATTAATTTTGAATTTCTTGACCTTATCATTTTAGTAGGCGTGGTAATTGCTATTGTGGTAGCAGTAGGTATTGCAGTAGGTGTAGTGGTTGCTATGGTGATAGTAGGCGTAGTGATAGTAGACGTAGTAATAGTAGGCGTAGTGATAGTAGATATAATAGCAATAGATGAGGTAGCAAAATGCGTGGTAGAAAAAGGCGTAGTAGAAAAATGCGTAGTAGAAAAAGGCGGGGTAGAAAAAGGCGTGCTGGCAGTAAAGGCTGTTTTAGTAGGTGTGCTGGCAGCAGATGCAGTATCACTAGGTGTTGTAGTAACAGACGTAGTGACAGTAGGTGTGATAATTATTGTGATTGATTTAGTAAATATATTAATAATCAGAATCAAATTTTATTAGTAAAAATAAAAACTTTCAATCTTATTAACCATATCAGCCGATTTGATTTTTTTGAGCCTTTTTTTTTAGATAGATGATTATACAAAATTTTTTCTCTTTAAGTAATATTGAAAAAGTAATAAACAAAGTAGTTGTTATATTTATGAGAACTTATTTCGCAAGTACAAAATATTTTGATTATGTTTAATTTTGGGTCAAAACAAATCGTCTAATATGCAATAAACTAATTTATTAACAACTAGATTAACCTTGCATATTTTCCCAACAAAGTGGGCAAGTGCCAATGTTACTGACATGTTTTTCAATACAATCTCGATGAAAAAAATGTTTGCAATTTAATATCATAATTGATTTTTCAAGATTAGTGCAAATTATGTTTTGGCAAATTATACACGTATCCGCAAATTTTTTTCCTGAAGTTTTATAAGAAATTATTTTTGATAAAAACTTAGCTAATGAGTCCATTTTATCAAAAAAAAAAAAACACATTGTCATATTTATACTAAACCTCTATACTGTAATTACACTCCTAATTTCTTAAAAAAAATATACATTTATGCAAACTACAGTACAATATAAAAACAATATAATTATTTTAAGTATATTGTAAAAACTGATCAACTTGATTCTTTATTAAATGATAGAGAGTAGGCGCATATATGTTTATACGTATTATAAATCCATTCCACTGATCAGGTATGTACGATAAGAAAACTCAAACCTTAATTACTTTAACCTTAATTACTTTATATAGAATTAATATCAACTAACTCATAGAAGTATATACATTACGTACCGGTTTTCTTGGTATTTTTATGTAGGGAGATTGATAATTCTAAATTCCTTATTAAGATTAATAAATTAAGAAATTTATCTTCAATGTATTATATACGTATCAATTTATGCATTGTCTTTTTGGTTTTTTTTATGTAATTCAATTATTTATGTTCAAATTCTGACTTTGAATGCGATTTTTAAATCCATAGGATTTTTGATGCAACATAACATAGAGTTCTACAAAGGTTGTATCTTTTTGCAAAGAGTAATAACAAAGATTTAAACCTGCTTTAAATTTATTTAAAATAAAAATCAGTGATTTATATCGTGATTTAAATCATATGTCTGTATTTAAACTACATATTCAATCATTTGTAAATCATTTTTAAATCACAAAATTTGATAATTTTTGCCATCCCTAGTTGGGCAAGTGATTATTGTCAGGCAAGTGAGTGTTGGCAAATAAATGTTGGCAAATGATTGAGACCCCTATTTATGCATAGCAACTTATCAGAAAAGATATAACAATAATTTAATTGAATTCTAGAAATATAGTATTCTTATATGCCCCCTACCTTAAATATTAAAATTAAATTGTTTTGCACCATTTTTAAAGTGAGAATCTCTTTAAAAATTCGTTGTGTATATATTGAGGATTTTCTTTTTTTTGCAAGTAAATGAAGAAAACAATTTAAGGTAACCCACCAAAGAGGTGATTTAACAATATTTACTAGTGAAAGTTATATGAAACTTTATTTTATTAGGATATTAATTGTTAACCCGTTGGTTCTTAGGACTTAAACAAAACTGAAATTACAGCACTTTTATAACTTTATAGCAGGAGGCTCAAGGGACTTTAAATTAAAGAAACGTGATTAGAAAAAGGCTTTTTTAAGGACAGATTTACTTTAATTTTTCTAAGCTCTCACTTGTCTTCTTAACACACTACCCGCATATTAGAATTGTTGACTCAGCTTTAGTGCCGCATTAGTTATTTCTTGTCATTCCTTGTCACATTATGAGCTATAAACTTTTAATCTACAGCCCAGGCATGGCAAATGCTGGCCATTTACTGCACCTTTGATTAAAAGTATCTTCTTGATACATTTGTAGAAATATTTAATCTTTAAAAATAGACTGATATATGCATACGAATAATACTGCATTAAAAAATTATAATATAATGTGAATGGATCTTTGGTGTAGCAACTTTACCTGTAACACTATCAATTATTCAATATCGATATTACCTATGATTTTATATTTAATTTATTTATAGGTATTTTTTTTGTATGAATAAGAACACATGCTTAAATTCAATACATCACAATCTTCTGATTAGCTATTATTCTATTTTTAGAATTAACCAACATATTCTATAGCAAGATTATCAGCTGAAAATATATTTTGATATTTCTATTATCAATACATTAAAATAATTTCAGTTATTCAAATGTTTCTATACAATAAAAGTAGATTCTAAAATTGCGAACAGTTATCCCCAAATAACTTCCAAAAAAAAAGCTAATAATTAGCTAAAGATATCATATTACTAAAGTTATAGATATTAACAGACTGGTCTTAAAACTAATTATAGTTCATCAGTTCATGATTAGATTTGATCTTATAAAATTGATCGTGAACAAGTTGAACAAGTTCAAAAAAAAATCTATCGTGAACAAGTTCACAATTAGATTTGATCTCAAAAAAAAAAAATCTATCGTAAACAAGTTCACGATTAGATTTGATCTCATAAAATTGACCGTGAACTTGTTCATGATTAGATTTGACCTTATAAAATTGATCGTAAACAAGTTCACGATTAGATTTGACCTCAAAAAAAAATCGATCGTAAACAAGTTCACGATTAGATTTGACCTTATAAAAAAAAAATCGCTCGTGAACAAGTTCACGATTAGATTTGACCTCATAAAATTGACTGTGAACTTGTTCATGATTAGATTTGACCTTATAAAATTGATTGTGAACAAGTTCATAATTAGATTTGACCTCATAAAATCGATCGTGAACAAGTTCATAATTAGATTTGACCTCAAAAAAAAAAAATTTGATTGTGAACTTGTTTACGATTAGATTTGACCTCATAAAAAAAAAAATCGATTGTGAACTTGTTCACGATTAGATTTGACCTTATAAAAAGAAATCGATTGTGAACAAGTTCACAATTAGATTTGACCTCATAAAAAAAAAATCGATCGTGAACAAGTTCACGATTAAATTTATAAAAAAATCTACCCCTTCTCAATTGTCAGCTATCGTTTATGTTTTATTAAAATTAAAAAATGTTTAAATCTAATTTATTGTTTAATGACGAATCTAACACCTAGTTTAATGATAATAATAGAATAAAAAAAAAATAAAAATAATAATAATAATTTAATCAGTTCAAAAATAATAATTCTTATTATTATTAATAAGCTTATAATGAAAAATAATTTTTCTAAACAAAATTTTAAATTTGTTAATCATCATATATAGTTCAATAAATATCAAATATTTAATATATTTTTTTAACATCTACGAGAGTCATTTTATATTCTGTATTTTGCAAGCAAGATTTTGAAAAATAAACGCTATTAAAAAGTTCAAATAATACATTCTAATTATTTCTACACTATTTTGTAATATAGTTTACAGAAACAATTGAAGTTTTTGTTTACCTATATTCCTTCTTAAAAAATAGTGCAATGCTTTGGGATCATAAACTATTGTGATTTTGATTTAAACAGATTCGTTACATATATAACGCCAATTATCTAAAAGAAATGTGATCATTGAAATATTACCCAAATATAATTGACAAAGATCTCATATGGATTATTAATTTAGCAGAGCGATAATCTATTAATTACTAATTGCCAATAACAAATATGACAAATGAGATTAAGATATTAAATATCAAAAATATACCAACCTTACCTGATAATTATGTCACCTAATACAGTATTATCGAGGGTGCACAGTATTAAAATTGCTAAGTACAGACCTGACTTTACCATTCTTTACTTTCTTTGTCTTGGACTTTGAAAGAGAATTTTCTGTCTGACAGGTCACAGTCCTATCAATAATGCATTGCGGCCACATAACCTTTTGAGGCTCTGGATATAATAGGTCTTAAAACTAAACAAATTTCGTGAACCAATTTATAATAATGAGCTTTATCGGCGAATGGTGGCTCGTTTGATGACATCTCCCATATAATAATTCCGAGCCTGTATATGTCAGCAGCTTCAGTGCATGAATCACTCCACAATACTTTCAGTGCTATGTACGGAAGTACATTATAAGGGTTTGAATCTTTAGATCTATTCACTGGATGGCACATCTCTAGATCTGTGATGTAGACTAATTTTTCATTTCTCAGAATGTTACCACTAAATTTTTTTTTCATGAAATAATGCCCAGGGTGTTATTTCGTGAAAAAAAATTTAAAAACGAGTTAATTAAATAAATATTAAAGCTTAAAAAAAAATCTTTGCCTTTCGAGACAATAATTTCAAAACGAGTTAATCATTAATTTTGCTGAAGATTTTTTTTAAACTTTAATATTTATTTAATAGTAAAGTTTAAAAAAAATCTTCAGCAAAATTAATTATTAACTTGGTTTAAAATTTTTGTCTCAAAATAACGTCCCAGGTGTTATTTTACAATGATACGGTAGTCTTTTTCTAATATGATCAAATAATATTTAGAAAGATAATAACACAAATTTCCTTGTTCAGCATATCACATCACCATCACATAACTGCCCGTTTTTGGATCTTTACCAACACCGTAATAATCGACTATTCTGAAGCAAACAGAATGACTTTAGTTATTTTGATAAATTGCATTATTATCAAAATAATGAGTTATTCTGTTAGTACGATCATAGTAGCTGCCGGATAATTTTGAATTACATCATATATGGTAACAGATTATGATCCAGACATATATAAATTTTTTAATTTGAATAATCTATATCGCATGTGAACTTAAAAAATCAATACATGGTAATTAGTAAGAGCATATAACTCTAAGAAAGAATAAGATAAAAAAAATTCTTACACAAAAGTAAATAATTCGTCCTATTGAAATATAATGCAACCCATGTCTTTAAACATAATTATACAAAGTTGTATAATTTAGCGATAGAATTCACAGTTGATATGCAATGTACCTCATCTAAAGAATATTAAAAAATCTTTATTCATAGATTAATAGTGTTAGGGAAGAATTAAAGAAAAACAGAGATATGTAAATAAATATAAAACTATTTATTTCTAATCATAAAATTGTTAAATTTATTACAAACTATAATCTTAATTTACTCGAAATATTTATATTACAAAAATAAAAAAAATAGATATGTTGCTAGAGTTAAAAGATATTTTTATTTAAGGATATTTTTCGAGTTTAGACCGGTCTTAAGACTAACCGTAGTCTATTACTGGACCACATAACATCCCTATTTACAAATATGAAAAAAAATAGACCGTTAATTAGAAAAAAAAACTGTAAACAAAAATGCAGATCATGTATGTATCTGATATATAAAATTCTCATATTGCTTAAACTGACCCAATCCCCTTTATATATTATTCAGGTTCTCTCAATATTTTGTATAACCACCTTTGGCCTCTATTACAGCTGCAATTCTTTCTGGCATCGATTGGTACAATTTGGTAATTACATCTATACCTATTTCGTCAAATATCTGGACTATTCTGTTTCACAATTCATTTTTTTCATTTCTATCAAAATACTCTCCTTTTAATCTCCTTTTAATTTCACTCCACAAGTATTCAATAGGATTTAGATCAGGAGATTAAGCAGGCCATTCTAGAACACTTATGTTATTATCTTCAAGCCACGTTTTTGTGGCAATTGATGTGTGTACTCTAGCATTGTCATGCTGAAAAATCATTTTGTCAGCACAATCACATGAATCAAGCACATCTAATAGGCAATCTTCGAGAATTTGAATATATCCTGCTGAATTTAAAGTTTCTTCAACTAATTCAATTTTGCAACCTTCTGAGGTTATACAACCCCATACTATAATGCTGCCACCACCAAACGGTTTTGTTAGAATTATATTAGCATCATTAAATACATCACCTGGTTTTCGCCAGTAATACTAACGCCCTTTAAAAGCTCCAAAAAGTATAAACTTATTCTTATCAGAAAAAATTACTTTCTGCCAGTCATTAACGGTCCAGTTTTTATATGCTATAGCAAATCTTAAACGTTCTTTTTTATGCTTATTAGTAAGACCAGAATGTCTTCTTTTAACTTTAACGGTGTATCCATTATTCTGAAGGACATTTCGTATTATTTCAACTGATATCTGTTTATTGGTTTCCTGACAAAACTTAGCATGCACGTCAACTGCTGTTTCACATTGCTCTGGAACAATCATTTCACAAATTTTTTTTTCTTCAACTGGTGAAAGAAGTTTATAACGATCTGACCTTGGCAGATCATCAACTTGGCCTTTTTCTCTAAACTTTTTTACAATCTTGGATATCGTTGAAACAGAGACACCCATTGTCCAAGCAACTTGATATTGAGAACATCCATTTTCGATAAGAGAAAGAATTATTGTGTGTTGAAAGAGTGTTAATTCATCATTTTTATTTCTTTTATATAATTGAAATCTTTTTGCACTCTTATTTTTAAATGCTTTCAGCATTTTTTTTAAAAAAAAAAATAAAGAAAAAGTAAAATAAAAATAAGTAAAAGAACTGACTAGATTTATCTGCTATAAAACAAATAGTAATTATAAAAAAAGCAAAGAGTTTTTATAATTTACTGTTATTCTTTGAGTTTTAAAATTCCTGCCATAATTAGTGTATTAAATTTATTATTATTAAATTATAAGGCTAATAAATATCTACCTTTGTATCTATTGATATAAAACTGTGCTAGATTAAAAAAGCCTTAAATTTTGTTATATGCACTTAACAATGTATTTGACTTGGCAATGGTGCTAAACGATCTATTGAAATAATAACCATTTACTGTGCTGATAAAATTTATTTATTGTTTAAAGAATTTTTTTTAGCTTTAAAATTAATAATGTAGAGTGCAGCATTTAGTACTCCCAAAATCAAGATCCAATATTACCGTATTATTGTGCAAAAATTTTGACTTATACTCAGCTATAAATTAAGCTTGCAAACTAGTAATATCCAATCAGTTCAAAATATACCCTTGAATTGTAGCTTTCTCAGATATTTTAGTTTTGAAAATGGTCATCAGGTTATGCTTATTAACTAACTAATCATAACTAACGCTTAATAACTGATCAACTTGTCTCTAAAATTTTTAAAAAATTTTCTTTAAACAAATTCATCTGTTTAAAATTAAGAGTCTATGCCTCTTTCTGCTTTATTGAATAGTAGCAATATTATGAAATTCAAACAATTTGCTTATATATGAATTAGGGTAGCTGCACGATGTAGTCGCACTCAAACTAGGAACGTAATATAATTAGGAGATATATACCGGCAATTCGAGTTTAGTAAAAAACTTTTTAATAATTATAAGAACAT